AGATTAGACTCTCTCTCACGGCAAATCTTCTCCCGGAACATTCCGGGCTGCGCCCAGAATCGGACGGACCTCGGAGGAATAGATGGTCCCTTGTGTTTGCAGAGTTAGACGGTGCCCTTGGCCTATATATCTACACATACACACACATATACATATACACACACACTAAATATGTACCGTACAGACAAACACACACCTATACACACACACACTTGCAGAAACCCACACACACATACATAATATATACCGTACAGACAAACACACAGAAACACACACTTGCAGAAACACACACACCTATACACACGTACATAAATATATGTAACGTACAGACAGACATGCGCACACACACACCTATACACACACACAGAAACAAACACACACACACACACACTTACAGAAATACACACACACACACTTATACACACATACATAAATATATATACCGTACAGACAGACATGCGTACACACACACACACCTATACACGCACACAGAAACAAACACACACACACACATACATAAATATATATACCGTACAGACAGACATGCGCACACACACCTATACACACACACAGAAACAAAAACACACTTTCAGAAACACACACATACACTTGCAGAATCACGCACACACACACACACACTTCACTTAGAGAAACATCACAGATTGACAGGATTATCGTTTGCGTGTAGCGTTCTGTAAATAAACTTGTATTGGTAACAAAGTGAGGTCTGTGTCCCGTCAGTTTGTGTAACTCTGTGTGACATCACCACCTCATCAGTTAGAGCGGCTCGACACGCCTCAGATAAGAACATGAGCGATAGGTAACTGATTTGGTAACTGGACTTTCTACCCCAGGGCAGCTGTGGCAGGAATCATACTGTACACTGCAAAAAGATTCTCCAACGGGAGAAAAACATTTAGTATTATTTAAAGAACTATTGCTTTATTTTCTCATTCCAACGAAGACATTTTTTAAAACCAGATATTTTTGTTCATTGTCAAATTTTGTTGTAAGGCTCAGTCGAAATGTGCTCAAATTAAGATACATTTAGCCAAATTGGAGCAGTTTTTTGTCATAACTTTTTGCAGTGTATACCATAATAAAGTATTAGTATGATGCTTGTAATATAACTTATTTTAATATATTGAATTAACAGAGGGAAAAGGGGTTCTTCCTACTTCTTCGTCCTACTCCTTTTGAACATGAATAAGTTATTATTTTTCTTTCCTTTATTTTTTGTTATTGTCTTTTTTTTTTGCTTTTTTTTTTTTTTTTGTTCTTACTGTTTTTAAATGTATTCTATGTTCAAACAAACATAAATAAACAAATAGTTTTTATAGTGGTAAAACCACTTCTGGGAATTTTGCTCATGTTTAAAACCCAACAGGTTCTGGCTCAACTTGTTAAGAAAGATGTAGACAATATTCAAACCCATGTATAAAGAATAATATGGCAGCTGTGTCAAAATCACTGTCAAATGATTTAAAAAAAAACATTTGCATTAAGTGTTTCAGAATTTATAAATAAAACGGTTTCTTTGTCACAGGGCTGCAGCATATTTATTTTAGTTTTTAAACACGTAAAAGTAAGTTTATCTGTATAGCGCCTCTCACAGACCGGGATCACAAAGCACTTAAAAATTAAAACCTAAAAAGAACAACACACATACGTAAAGTTACGTTTTGAAAGCTCCACTGAATGCTTGGAATGTGCAGGAGTCTGTGAGAGGATTAGGTCATTTTTATAAGAGGAGGAAGACCATTATTTTGGTTTTATAACGGTTGTTGTAGTGGTTTGATTCATTGTTAGATAAAAACAGAAAGATGTAGCTCAATTCAAAGCACTTTTCACAAGAAAGGGAGAGTTGAAGTGGAACATACGGCCAGAGCACTGCAAAAAGTGGTGAAGAATAAGTACAAAATTGCTTAAACTTGGCAAAAATGTATCTTCATTTCGTCTGCCTTTAAGGTAGGCATGTCCAAACTAAGGCCCGGGGGCCTATTGCGGCCCACTGTGTCATTTTACACGGCCCTCTGACTCGCTATCCCAAAGTACAGCCTGTTGTACCTGGTTGTGAAGTTGAATCTCTCTGGAATTTGTTGCCTTTTATGTCTAAACTGACATTTTATCTCAATTCTACAGTATATATGCATCTGGTGAGTAAACCTTTGTCATTCAGCCAACTTCAGCTCTGTCAAAGATGAACCAATTTAGACATTTCATATTGAATATTAAAGCTCAGAACGGGTATTTTTGATGAACCAAAGTGGCCCTCTTACGAAAAAGTTTGGACACCCCTGCTTAAAAGTATATAAGATGATTTTCTACTTCCGGTTGGATCATCAACTGTCAATCATTCTGGTGGTACTTGCTGGTCCAATAAGACCAGAGAGATTTTGTAAAAAGTGGTGAGGGTGGTTCTTTCCTAAAATTTGGGAAAATCCTCCTATATACACTGTAAAAAGTGATGAAAAATAAGTCAAAAATTGTTCAAAATTGGCAAAATGGCAAAGCAAAATGATCTTGTTTTAAAAAGATACAGAAATGTGTCTCTTGGAATGAGAAAATAAATTAACAGTTCTTGAAATAAACTAAATGGCTTTGTCCCGTTGGAGAATCTTGTCAGAATGTGTCAGATTAAGATAAAAACCACTAGATTCAAGCATTTATTTCCTTATATTTGATCATTTTTTGCTGTGTGCTTTGGCCGGAGTCTGTAGTCTGTGGTCTGTTGTGGTCTCTATACTCAGTGACTGATGCTGTCCTGTCCTCCCGTTTGGATGGATGCTTCGGACTGCAGCCCTGGGAAGGCCGGTCCTCCCTCTCCCCAGACGCCTCCCACCTCCACACACACACACACATAGACACACACACATATACACACACAGACACACTACATCAGCACCAGTTCATAAGTCAGACTGCGGCAGCTTAATGGATGTTAGTGAGAGATTTCATTAAGTTTAAGACCAGGATTTAAGGTCGCCTGTGAATTGTCACTGTATGTTTTCCGATGTATAGATACCATGACCATAATGGTTTGTTTTACATGTTTTGAAACTTTAAAGTGCAATACGGCTGAGAAACGACTGGAGCAGAGTTTGGCTTCGGTCTGGGGAGAAAGCAGCAGCGGATTTATCTCTACTGCTTTTGTATCAAATTGTATACATCCAAATAAGGTTTGAGGCCTCGGTGTAAATCAAAAGAGCCTATTTCACTCTTGGAAAATTCCCAAGATGAATTTGAAGTCTCACAAAACCTCTCGAGATTAACTGTGTTTTCGTAATCAACAAACACGGATGAGGAAGTGATGAAAGTTTGTTTTTAACTGACATGGTGTTGGTTGATAGGAATGGAGGCAACGTAAGCACGGCCTCAGTCCTCGTTCTACAGCCTGAGTCCTGTCCGTCCATGTGAGCAAAACCCTCTCTCAATAGATAGTGTAGATATATATATAGAAACTTTATGAATCCCGGTTGGAGAAATTCCAGCGGCAGATCCATCCATACAAATAAATGAATCCATCATTCTAAAATTGACTAACAATAGAAAAAAGTGCAGTATCACTTTGGGTCACGGCAGCAGGACAGGACATGTGGACACAATGTGGGCTTGGATCTTTGAGGTTTCTCACTTTTTTCCCACTGTGTTTTTTAATCGTGTCGCTGATGCAGGACGCTCTAAGGACAGTGATGATCCAGGACATTTATGGACATTGGTAATCCCACTTCTTATGGGCTTCTGTGTGTATTATTATCTCATTTCTGTGTTTCAAACATAGACTGTAAATATTAACAGATGTAGTCACGCCTATCTCCGCTGTTCCAACTAATGGGCCACAACTTCCACGGTCTATGGGCAGTTTCAAAATGGCCGCGGGGGCTGGAAAATGTGAAAAATGCATCTGCGCAAGCGTCAGCTGCACGAGCCCCATTCATTTAAACGAGTGACTTCAAAAATTCACAGTGGCTAAACTAAACTGGTCCAAAACACCCCCCTCAGCATTGATACACATGTGGAACGGAGCTTTGGGCCAATAGCATAGACTGTATATAATAACGGACAGAGTCATGCCTATCTTCGCCGTTCATAGGAGTTGGCCATGAAAAGTGCTTTCATGGAGCAATCCAAGATGGCCGCGAGTGGTCCCGCCCACAAGAAAATTGTGAAAAAACGCATCTGCGCATGCGTCAGCCGGCGCAGCTCCATTCATTTGAACGAGAGACTTCAAAAATTCACAGCGAGTAAACTAGAGTGGACCAAAAAAGTTCACCCCCCTCAGCATTGACACACATGTGGAACGGAGCTTTGGGCCAAGAGCCAACTTTTGGTCCATCCTGTAAAGACGTTTTTGAGAGGTCTGCCAATGCTATATGTTAGCATTGGCTAATTCTTGGCCCGGGGTGGTATTGCAAGCATGTCAGCGCACGTCATTTTGGCTACTTTTGAGCTGGGACCCGCCCCCACTGGCCAAAAGCCAGCTTTTGGACCATCCTGTAAAGACATTTTCAAGAGGTAAGAAGATGCTATATGTTAGCATTGGCTAATTCTTATTCCGGGTCCACCCCCACAGGCCCGTGGTGGTATTGCAGCATGTCAGGGCACGCCATTTTGGCCACTTTTGAGCCGGGACCCGCCCCCACTGATTTCAGACTGTTTGATTCTCTGATCTGTTCTTGGCAAATTGACACCTAAAGTAAAGTCCTCCGAGATGATAATACATTGATTTGAAGTGTATTGACTGTAACCTGGAGTTCGTGTGATGATCAGGCTTCAGAACGGGAGAATCCGTGCCTAAAATCTGTTTTATTCTCCCGTGTTTAAACAATAGTTTATTTCTTCGCACGTTATAAACATTACATTTGAAGTCACATGTTTTTACACATTTCACAATAAGAAACAAGAACTAAACAGTGTGTATTATTCTCTGTAGTGCTAAAAATGGCCAAACCCCAACATCCCGGCTGTTTCTCTCTCGGCCTCGTCTGACGTTGCAGAACTCAAGGTCTTTGTCTGAAGTGATCATGGTCGTGGCCCGTGATCTCGTTTGTGAGAGAAGTGCTGTGGATGGAAGGAGGCGTGTGGAGTCTGAGGATGTGCCATCTCCGGGTGATGACCTCAGAGTGTGGGAGATTTACCGCGCTGCCGAAGGCCAAACGGACGCTTTGACCAATGGTGGATTTCACATCATTAAGAGCAAAGGGGCAGACGGCGATCTCTTCTCTGTCTGCGCCGTTATATTTTACACTAAAAATACAACCAGATTTGTACAAAACACTTAACAATGTCAGAGGAAGAAGGTCCTTCTTGAGTCGATTCCCAAACACTGTCTGTTCTCATTCTCCTTCATTGGGTCGTTGAGAGATCATGTTGTAGTAGTGGAGCTATGGCGGTCTTCAAGCATTAGCCTACATCAAGCTTCGTGTCGCCAGGAAGCTCCATTCATGCAGCAACCCTCCTCCTCCCCATCTCTACCCCGTCACTCTGTCCTCGCTCCCACCACCAGGGTCCAGGCCCGGGGGATTAAAACTCAAAATCTCTATCTTCATTCCCCCTTCTGTAATCATAATGGGCTAGACACACGGGAGGCGACATCGCATCGCCTCCATTCATTTCAATGGGACGTGCGCGACATAGCGTCAATCGCTAGCGAGCCTCCTGCTCAGCGACGGGCGAAAAACGTGCGTGTGAAATCCTCCCGCTCGTGCATGTATCATGCACGCGCGGGTCAGCGACGCGATCCCAGAAAGTTGAAATCGGCTCAACTTTTCGACGCTGTCGTCAAGCCGCATCGCGCCCCGTCTGTCATGTTATCTGAGCGACAGCGTTGAGTTTCGCTGATCGCTCTCATTTGTCGCCTCCCGTGTGTCGAGCCCTTCATGCCGTGCTCTGCCGAGGTCTAAGCGCCAAATCTTAACCATGTTTCTTGTACAGCAGCAATAAATGTAATCTTGAAAATATTGTCCCGAGAGTCATTTTTTAAATTTATGTAGTGTCAGATTACTTCCAACAAGGATCTTGGAGTGACGTTGTTTATATTTTTTCCGCGTCAGTCACGTGACTGTGTGGCAATACAGCAGAGAAAGCTACCTAAATGCTTGAAAGTTAGCTAGTTTTAAACGTTTTGGAGAGAGGTTTTACTAAATAAATTGATCCACTCTTGTTGTGTGTTGTATGGCTCTCCAGCCTTTAACTTTTCCTGCGTGAAGTGTCCCGGGTTTTCTATCGAGTATAAATAAATGTATCTCCTCCGATCTTCTTATGTCAAAAGTGCTAATATATAGTGCATTTTTCTCACTCGTTGCGCATGCGTACGCAGATGTAAACCAAGATCCTCCTATATACGATGCTAATAATACCTATGTTTTATCTGTCCGAGTCTCTCCAGATTGAAATACATACGATACACGATTATAGACTTCCTTGGTTAAAAGTGAGATTTGTCCTAAAATCCCCACGTCCCGTCCGTCCTCCTTGACCTCACACAATCGTTGGTTCGGGATCTCTTGTTTCGCCGCTGTTGCCTCCAGTGATGAGGACTATTTCTGTTGGAGCTGAAGGATTTACGTCAAGCTGTAAAAAAATCATCTCTCTCTCTCTCCTCCTCCTTCTCTCTCCTTTACGATCACACTGGGAGCGACGCCATTCTAAAATATGGTCCCTGTTGTTTCGGGACAGAAGAGGAATCATAAAATCTCTCTACAGCAGCGGCGTTCAGAGATGGTCGGACTGAAGTGTGTGAAGAGACTGCAAACAACGCATGGTTTTAGTACAACCACAAAAACTGAGATTTACTGAGTTCCCTCCGTTTCTATAAAGTGGTCATTTGTGATTAAATGTATTTGTGGTCACTCTACATAAGGTAAATGTTCCAGGAAATGACTTATCACATATATATGTATATTTCTTTATTAACATTTTTAAAAAACAACAAAACACAGTGGCTGAGTGGTTAGCATACCGATTCTCAGCAAGAAGGTTCTGGGTTCGGGCTTGTTTAAAAACTGCTTGTAATATCACCTGGGAATCGTACTGTTAGCTAAATACTTTGCTAATGGTACTGTTTGCATAAATGATCGCTAAAGACTTTGCTAACTTGCCAACGGTTAAGTTCACATGTACAGCCCATAACAAACTCCCCCATTGTCCCAGACTTTTCTCCACTTCCCAGTTTGAATGGGTCTCCCTCAGAACAGCTTCATTGTGGCTCCCTCACTCTCCGTCTCCCCCCTGCCTCCCCCACCTCCCCCCAACACAAGCGCCCGTTAATCTGCTTAAAACCTCTGGACTGTCCCGCCTCCGCCGTCCACCAGCCATGACCAACCCACAGAGGCAGCCGAGAGAGAGGGAGGGGGAGAGAGAGAGACTGGGGGAGATGAGTGGGGTGGGGGATGAATCTGGATTTGTGCAGAACTTGGGGGGGGGGGGAACTCGGGAGATTTACATTGGACCAACATCTCACTGGGATTTGGCAGCTGGTTGCTATGGCGGCAGATGTTTGCAGTGTCAGCGAGGGCATAGCTTTGTCGTACTTCGCAGCAGGTATAAGACCTTTGGACCGGACACTCGGAGACTAAAACACGCCATTTCAGACCGAGCTTAAACCTTTGCATACATTTTTAAAGTTATGGAAATCAGCTCAGTTGCTAGTGTAGGCAACAAGGACCCTTTGGAGACTTGTATATTGAGCAAGGGAGTTGTATGTACGGGTTAGTCTGCACGATTGTGGAGAAATTGACAAAATAAACTGTAAAACTAACATAATTGTGACCAGGGAAAAGAAAGAAAAAGGGAACCCAAAAATGCAGGACTGAAAATCAAATCTAATTCAAATCCAGAGTGACTAATAAACACCAAATTCCAGAACTGAAAAACAAGACAGAGACAAACGAGGTAGAGACAATGGACGGACAACAAGTGGGAAAAGCACATAGTATAAATATACACCAGAGACACAGGTGGATCACATCAGGGCGGGGCTAACAACGGGAGACAATACAATACAATGTATTCTTGTATAGCCCTAAATCACAACAGAAGTTATCTCAGAGACTTAACAAAACCATTGAAATCACCAACACAGATCAGAGAATCAACATTGAAAACACATGAAGAATATAGAACACATGTTGATAAATGTCCATACATGTTGTAGAATGTTAAAGTGTCCTGGATCATCACCACAGTCCTTCTAGTTGGACACTAACTGTCCAACAGACCCTCCTGCATCGACAAGGAAAAACTCTTAAAAAACCAGTGGGAAAAGGTGAGACCAAGCCCCGGTGATCCAAGATGGCGCCCTATTCAAATGAATGGCTTGTGCTCAGTAGCGCATGGGACTTCATGGAGACCGGGAGATTAGCTGAACTCGCCTGTATTTGGGCATTGTCTGGTCCTCCCGGTTCTGTGCAGGGGATGATCTCCCATGAAGCTTTGCACCAAAAACGCATGTGTGGCTCTCATGCACACGCACAGTGGGGCTCTAAAGATTGTGGATTTAAAGAAAACCGAAGGATTTAAGAAGAAAAAAAGTTCAGGATGACAAGGGACACTAAAATCCCCACAAAATATGATCTTTATGAAAGCTGTAGGTTCTCTGTCAGCTGAGGTCGAGCTGTTTTAGTTTACACTGAGATCTATGGGGAAATTTCTGGGTAGCCCGCGTGAATTTAGTCTGCAGTACCACAGCGCCCCCTGTGGCCATGGGTGGGATAGCTATAAGCTAGTAATACCCTATCCAGTTATTATTATAGATCCATGGGTGAGGTCCACATAGAGGGGCTAAAGACACAGCTGGAATGACCTAAGGGCGTTCACAGTGAGAATAAATCCAGATTTCAAAGTCGTTGGCACAAACAAACACAAACCTGTTGATGGCTTCACTCTCGCTCCAATCCTTTCAAAAACCTCCTGATTAAACTTGGGCTAGATCAGGGCCGAGATTACCACAGCATTAAGTCAAACCAGGACAAAGTTCCAAACAGCGCTGGTTTCTGACCGGTGTCTTTTCCTCCCCCAACTGTCCACATCAAGCGGCTTATCTCTCCCAGTCGCACCAGTCACAGCAGATGTTGACCATGGAACAGTAATGACCAGGGTTTAGGTCCCAGCTGGCTCCTGTGGTAGATTTTAAATACAGCACACGTCGAAACACAATCATGTTTTCATTCATGTGTCACATCTCCTCACTCCCACAGTCCAATCCAAGCACCGGACCTTGGGGGACCGAGCTTTCGCCATCTCTGCTCCCACTCTCTGGAACTCTCTCCCCCCTCTTATCTGGAACTCTCTTCCCCCTCATCTCTGGAACTCTCTTCCCCCTCATCTCTGGAACTCTCTCCCCCCTCATCTCTGGAACTCTCTCCCCCCTCTTATCTGGAACTCTCTTCCCCCTCATCTCTGTAACTCTCTCCCCCCTCTTATCTGGAACTCTCTCCCCCCTCTTATCTGGAACTCTCTCCCCCCTCATCTTTGGAACTCTCTCCCTCCTCATCTTTGGAACTCTCTCCCTCCTCATCTCTGGAACTCGGACTCACTCGGACCCTAACCCTAACTCCTTCAAAAAACAGCCAAAAACTCACCTCTTCCTCCAAACATATGACTCTTAGTTTCAGCTTTGTACTCTTCTTTCCTGCTTTTAGATGTTTAGCTTTGTGTGTGTGTGTGTGTGGTGTGTGTGTGTTGGTGTTTGTGTGTGTTTGTGTGTTGGTTGTGTGTTTGGGGGTGGTGTGGGTCCTGAATTGTGACGCGTCTATATAAAACCAAAGTATTATTATTATTATTATTATTATTTAACAAATTGTGAAATTCTATATTTGATCATGATATTGTATAGTTTTATATCAAAGTGTTTCATAGGATGAGTTTTCATACGACTCTGAGGTCAAAGACACAGGACGTACTTGGACTGTTCTGTTCTTCCTCATCTCACCGGACAGGAGATGAGACCGGACTAGACCAGACCCAGGCTCTTCGGTCTTATCATACTGTATATGGAGGCACTTCCTCTTCTTGTTCTTGTTTTGTGCTTTATACATTTTATTTTCTTGCTTTTTTCTACTTGAGATGTTGCTGCAGTACAGTGTTCGTGGTTTTTTCACTGGTCCAGACCGGAGCAGAGAGGATTCATGGTCCAAACCAAGTGGATTAGATGAAAATCCATTGGAGGAATGGTAACTTTTTGAAAAATGCTAGTGAACCATTCAGCATTTTACTTTGGACTAAAGGAGAGAAAATGGTCTGAACCAAGCGGCTACTCCTTGTGACCCGTCCTGCTCCACCCAGAGACTACTCCACCTCTGCTGCTGTGACCTGAAGGACTGTTGCTGATTATTACTATTGTTAGCTTTTTTGAATGATCAATTTTATTTTTCATTTTTGCTGCTACTGGACACCTGAATTTCTCCAACGGGGATCAATAAAGTATCTATCTATCTATCTAAAACTGTGGTGTACGACATTGTGAGTCGGAGCAGGGAGGGATAGGGACAGGATGAATTAAATATTGTTTATTTGGGATCTCCCCAAACCACCCCCAATCACAATCAAGACCAGGGGGCGGGGCCAAACGCACAATAAAAAAACGACAAATACACTCACGCACTGCTGCTAAATGGATTACTTTGCTGAAAATTGAGAGATCATTGTTCGCCCGGCTGCCGCAACCCCCCGCTGTGGGCCGCCCGGGGGGTCCTCACGGGGCAGGGGAGCGGGTCGGAGCCGGGAGATGGATCAGAGAATCTCCCAAAATACTGAGATGGAAGAAGAAGAGGGAAAAAGACGGAGAGAGCAGCAGATGCCTGGCCCCCTGCGGAGAGAGAGCGAGAGGAGAAAGGTGCAGTTCAGAGGAGTTTGTGGGTGACTGAGCGAGAGGGCCGTGGGAAGAACAACATTTATAGGATAGTAAATGGGGTTCAAAGTGAGGATTTGCCTGACAATGTTATAGTTTGAAGCGACAGTCAAACACATATAGGGATATTTTGTTCCCAGTGTGTGTGTGTCTTTGTGTAAATTCGGACTGGGATTAGTTGAAATTCTCTTCTGTTCTCCAAACCCCAGTGGTACACTCTAAAAAAAAATGCATTGGCAAAACTTAATAAAATTGAGGCAGCATTTTGCATGCATCTTTTTAAGTTTTGCGAACAAGTCTTTTATCATTGGTCCAGCACAATTTTTCCAATACCACCAGCTTGGATAATTGAGTTATAAAGACACTTTGTTAAGTATATTCAGCAAGTGTTTTAGCATCAGTTCAACTCAATTTTAAAAATACCACCAACTTAAATAATTACATTGAAAATAAATCTTTTTGAGTATATTCAACAAGTGATTTTTAGTCAGGAATACGTAATCTTTATTCAAATACCATCTTTTACAGATCAGATTCACAATACGGTTCACAATTGTTAATTTTAGGCAGTAGTCTCTCACTCCACATGTATATGAGAGTGGGCCAGCACAGTCACCTGTACACATGTCCACCTTAAAGTATTTGTTCAAAATTGAAGGGTGACACAGGGAGTATAGGACTGCTTTGGCTTGGCCCTCTCGATCATGGTTGATAAAAATAAATACAATTACTTATTTGGTCAAATTAGTTTATTCAGAATGTTGCTCAAGTATTTTGCTTTAGGACTTGCTTCATATTCAGTTTTAAAATTAATGCTCAAATGTAGAATTTTTAAGAAGTTTATATTTTTTGCTGCAATGCATTCTGGGTAGCGTCACTGCTTCGCCACATTTTGTTTTCAATCAACACAATATATTTATTTTGAATCAACTCAATATATTTGTTTTTTCATTAATGGGCCACCAGGCTTACAAGAGGATTTTCATGTTGAGCAAACTCAATACTTCTCCGTTGTCCAGTTATGCCAGAATATCAAGTTCAAATTTGTTACAAAAATGAGTTAGGATTCTTGTATTAACTTTTAATTGAGACCGGCATGTTTTAAAAATGAATTTTTTTGTTTAGTTTAGTATGTATTTTGAGTTCAAAATACTAACCACCTGACATTTCTTTGAGTCTCGAGTCAAAAACAATATAGGTTTCAATGGCACGTGATACATCATTTTAAAGCTTTTGAGTTTACGCACGCAACCGTCACATTTTGGTGAGTGACGGGCGCTGACGCGTCCGTCACGCACCGCCACCATTTGTTTTCACCATTGTGAAAGCAATAGGCCCTTACCCCGTTCGGGGCTCGGGCCTAATAAATAAAAAAGGAATTTTTTTTTTCGACGTCTCGAGCAAAAACAATATAGGTTTCAATGGCACGTGATACATCATTTTAAAGCTTTTGAGTTTACGCACGCAACCGTCACGTTTTGGTGAGTGACGGGCGCTGACGCGTCCGTCACGCACCGCCACCATTTGTTTTCACCATTGTGAAAGCAATAGGCCCTTACCCCGTTCGGGGCTCGGGCCTAATAAATAAATAAAAAAGGAATTTTTTTGTTAACGTCTCGAGCAAAAACAATATAGGTTTCAATGGCACCTGATACATCATTTTAAAGCTTTTGAGTTTACACACGCAACCGTCACGTTTTGGTGAGTGACGGGCGCTGACGCGTCCGTCACGCACCGCCACCATTTGTTTTCACCATTGTGAAAGCAATAGGCCCTTACCCCGTTCGGGGCTCGGGCCTAATTAAAGCCGCAAGCGGCGTCGAACGGCCCTCGCCGCACCGCGCGACTCCCTGCACCGCGCGCACTCCCCGCACCACGCCGCCCCGCACCAAGCCGCCCTGCACCATGCCGTCCCGCACCACGCCGCCCCGCACCACGCCGCCCCGCACCACGCCGCCCCGCACCACGCCGCCCCGCACCACGCCGCCCCGCACCAAGCCGCAACGCGCCGCTCCACAACGCCCCGCACTACGCCGCACCACACCGTACCACGCAGCACCGCTAAAAGGAGGTGGCACCGCCGTGTGATGATTTGTTCCCGTAGCCATAGAAGAATGTTAGTCAAATTGTAATGAATATGATAAATAGAGCTGGTTTGGCTCCCCATGTAAACTTTGACAGAGTGTCTAGGGGGCGCTAATGGGCCAATTTCCAATATTTCACTTTAACCTGACCTAAACTCTGGAAATGAACAATGGATTAAAGTTTTGTGCAAATCAGACTTTGTTTGTGCAAACAGGAGCAAAATTTATGTTGTCAAAAAGAGCCAAAAAAACCTCACATTTTGGTGCTCCGCTGCTTAACACTAGGAGCGCCCCTAGCGGTCAACTGACCGTCACTCACTTTATTATGCTAATTAGTGTATTCAAAACAAAACGCCAGAAGTTGAAATTTTATGACTTTTTCTAGGTACTTGTTGTTTATATTTTGGTGTGTTTTGGTTTTGGAAAAAGTAAAGAAAACAAGATTTACACGCATTTTAACTTTTCTAAACCACAGCCCTTTCTGCTTCCCCATGGAGATACATGGCGCAGGGGCGCCTGTTGTCATAGTAACCTTTCCCGGGGGTTTTTCGCGCCTTATAAAAATGTATCAATATGTTGTCATTAGACTCTAAAGGGACTTTTTTATTATTATTTGGGAGAGAGAGAGGAGTACAAAATGAATAGAGCTGCAAGTACACGGTATGAAGCGCTGACAGTGCTTCAAGACATTGAAGAGAACAGTCTGACGGAGGTGAGAGATGTCACATTTTGAGGTAGAAAGTGACAGCGGGGAGAACACCTATAATATTCTAAATCTGAACGTAACCCCAAAGTGCATTCACGGCACGGACAGCAGTGTTGTAACAAGTCCAAAAGCAATAACGCACATGACCCGCGTAATGCCAGCCATACGCAGGTGTCTGTGTGCGCGCTGTTGCTCCATTCTGCCTTTTCATTCATCATCAATTACATTCTCATATTTATACATAGAAGAAGGCAATAAAGCAGAATACAATATCGTAATAAAATAGAACAATTCGATGAACTATCAAGGCAGAGTGCAGATCAGAGTGCTCGTCACCCGCGGACACTGCAGGAGGAGAGCGACTGTGGGGCAGAAGCGGCCCTCATATATCAATAAGGATATAATTCTTATTTCATCCAGATAACACTGTGTGTTATTCTGCACAGCGCGCACTGCAAGGCAATGATTATAATTTTGTTCTGAGCATAAAGAGCACTGCTTGTCTCAAATAAATACAAATATATATATACATATATTTGTCTTTCTAACGTGTCCCGTGTAAAATTGAAGATTTTACATTGACGATGGTAGCCTAGCTGATGATCTTGTGTCAATACGAATAATATTATTATTATCTAGATAATATTTCCCACGGTGATTTCGGCTGGAAAGAGAAAACAGTCTGGAGATGACGTAAGAAGTAGACGCATATAGCAGCGCGAAGACGTTATGGTCCTGTGCTTTTCTAAACTATCATTTATATTGTTTGAATTTACATATTGTTACTGAGTCAAATATAACATATAGTGAGCAACCTTTTAGGTGTTTGCAAAGTTACAAAATAAATCTAGCCTGAAAAGTCTTCGTAATTTTGATGGATCAGTACACGCACAATGTGTCGTCTTAGCCTTAGGCTAGAATTACAATTACTTAGCATATTTAGACAAATAATTTACACAGTTTCATTATGATCACGATTCCTTTGCAACATCAAGTTCTGGTTTAGTGAACAATCAATTTGGCAAAAGGCTGTATCAGCGCAAAATACATAGCAGTCAACTGACCGCAGGGGGCGGTGCAAGGTATGTTTAGAGCGCGGCGGTCCTAGTGTTAAACAACGTTTCACTGATCAAAATTCCCTGAAGTCATTTTGATGGTACATGTGTTGAGATGATGTGGAGCGATTTTGAGGCGAATCGGTGAAACGGCCGAGGAGGAGTCGCTTTCCAAGCGACATGTATGAAAATGATTGGTTTTCATGTTTCCATTTTGCAATGAAATTTATGAGCTTCCTGTTTGTCAGAGGGCTTAGCCATAATAACATTTTTTCCATGTCTTGACTTGAGGAACATGTGTACCAAATTACATGGTTCTACGACAATTTTGACCTCGAACCCCTCCCATAGGCATTTTTAAATTGGCTGTTGTAGGTGGCGCTATAGAGCCAATTTCAAAATTTGAACTTTCAATTGACCTAGACTCCAAGAGTTGAACCATGGATTCAAGTTTTGTGCCAATCACACTTTGTTTGTGCAAACGGAAGCAAATATTCTATTGTCAAAAACTGAAAAAAAAATACGCCACTTTTTGGCGCTCCGCTGCTCAAACAACGTTTCACTGATCAAAATTCCCTGAAGTCATTTTGATGGTACATGTGTTGAGATGATGTGGAGCGATTTTGAGGCGAATCGGTGAAACGGCCGAGGCTGGTTTGATGTTTGTGTGAGGTGTACATTTGCAATGAAAGGGGAGCGTTTGTCGTCGCCACGGCAACAGGGTAAAAAATAAGCCTTGGACCCAATTGACTTTTTGAATCAAGAGGGCAAAACAGATGTATGTGCAAAATTTCAAACATTTTGAAAAAACTAAATTTGAAAATGCCCATCTAAAACTTTGAAATAGTCTGTAGGGGGCGCTAATGTGTCAATTTGAATAATTCACTTTCAAATGACCTAGACCCTAGAGTTGAACAATGTATTAAAGTTTTGTGCAAATCAGACTTTGTTTGTGCAAACGGGAGCAAATTTAATGTTGTCAAAAACGGCCAAAAAAAGGTCACATTTTGCCGCTCCGCTGCTCAACAATGTTTCACTGATCAAAAATCCCTGAGGTCATTTTGAAGGTACATGTGTTGAGATGATGTGGAGCAATTTTGAGGCGAATCGGTG